TACATATGAAAAAAACCATTGTCAGTTTTTCCAAACAAGGAGGCCAAAAATTCTATGAGAGACTGTAGAGTTTCCATTGCTTTGTGGGAAATTTCAATTAACAAGAGTTACAATTTCAATAATAATAGAATTGCAACAAGAAACTTGTCCTTTGCTGATGCAGAGAAGATTCAAAATCAAAGGGATTTGAAAACAAGCCTACTGCAAGGTTATCCTAGGTCACTAACTCAAAAGTGTGGAAACTGGCAAGAAATGAGACACTAAAAGTTTGGAGCTCTACCCCTACTACTAAGACTGAATATAACTTAGAATAGAAACACTGAGGTTATAAATGAAAGTGGCAAAATATTTGGTTTTGCTAAATAAGTATTTTATTCTGTAAATTCATTTCTACACAACTTAAGCCACTTTTGAAATGTGCCCTCAATTAACACAAAGGGTTTCGCTAATGACAATCAGAAAAAGATTTATAAAACTGTCAGAAAACTTTAAGAAAGTTTAAGAAACTTTAAGGAAGATTAGGTGAAGCAAAGGGGTCCAGAGACTGCATTTTTAAAAAAATATATATTTTATTGATTTTTTACAGAGAGGGAGGGAGATAGATAGAGAGTTAGAAATATTGATCAGCTGCCTCCTGCACACCCCCTACTGGGGATGTGCCCGAAACCAAGGTACATGGCCCTGACGGGAATCGAACCTGGGACCCTTTAGTCCGCAGACCGACGCTCTATCCACTGAGCCAAACCGGTTAGGGTTAGAGACTGCATTTTATTAAGGTTGTATGCACAAGAAAATAAAATAGGACTTTATCAGTTAGAGTTAATTATTCATCACTTCTTCACACTCAGGCTTCTTTTCCTGTTTAATTTAGGAGGAAAATTTGAATGCAGGTAGTACACAATAAAGTACTAGATAATAATTAATGCCAAACCCAAGTTTGTGACAATGAGCCACCAAAATAACCAAATGACAAAAATTAAAGTAACTTGTCTACTATTCTATTTATACCAATTATTCCCAAATGCTGTTCAGCAACAAAGTTTTCATAATTTCATTGCAAAAACAGGCATTATTTATTTCCTTAACGGATAACACAGAACATACTTTACACATATTCATTTCCATATATCATAGAACCGGTTCTTTCTTGAGAATGACCCTTTTCTACATCTCTGCTTCTTTGATTTTAAAATGCTCTTTCTTTCATCAAACGATAATGACAGTAATTGGAAAGTGATTTTTTTTTAATGTCCATATTTGGCAAAACAAAAAGGTGTTGACTTGATGTATATCCCTCAAAATCAAGTTGAGGGATAATTTAAAGTTCTAACAGCTACTAGATGACTTCTTTTTTATCTTTTTAAAACATATCCTAATGACATAAACAAAAAGCTGACCGAGAATTTAATAGATGTAATTTAATAGAAAGCTCTCTAACCCAAAATGCAACGACAACCAGGAAGATATTACAGACATCATGTGAATCCATCAAACTGCTAACAGATATCAAAATACAGGCCAGTCATCAGAATGATCTTCTATATGAATGACAGCATATTCATTTTCCCACATCAAATACTACTGAAAAGTGTAAAACTACGGGGGAAGGAGTCTGCTGTGCATCCAAATGTTACTTTCCTACTCCTGTTAATTACAAGAATTATTCACACCTCTTTATCTTGATTTTAGTAATCATTCAGATACTCTTCTATAGGGAGGGAACTTCCTTCAGAGATCGGCAGCTATCTGTCACTATCTGTCAAGAGGGTCAATGGTGCTCTGGGTTACACTGTGCCAACTCTTGAAAAATAACCTGACTACATATATCTTCTCTCCTCCTTTTACTGATAAATTACATAAGAGTTAGGGGAGGGAGAAGGCATGTAATTAATTATGCAAGTCAGTTAGAGTCCTACTTTTGAGAAGAAACCCCAAAAGGTGAACATTAGCTCGGTACTATGCTGGTATGCATGTTTAGTGCTCTATGTATTGAATGCTTCAGTAAAACTCACAGAAGAAACTATAGAATGAAACACATGTGGGAAAGTATCAACGTGGCAGATTTAAACCTAAGATGTTTGATTGCCATTATTATCTAAAAACAAAGTTATCATCAACCCGTTACATTCTTTTTAAACTGACTCAGTTCAATATATCCATTTTTAGTTGTTTACTGAAATGTTACCTTACATGCATAAATCACTTCACAAATATTCTTCAGTTATATTAACATTTAAAATAAATAATCATTAATAAAATCTACTATATATATAAAGGACTGTAAAAAAAGATTACATTTGTTCAGTACAATGTGATAAGCACTGAAACGAATAATTTATTTACATTATTGATTAATCCTCACAAGGAAATAGAGATTATTTTCCCAGTTTTCAGATTAGGAAAAGTGATGCTCAAAGACTGTAGACACTAGTAATTGGCAGCAATAGGTTTCAAAGTCAGACCTGTTTGACTCCGAGGCCCATGTACTTTCCTTGGAACTACCTGCTTCTTGACAATTTAATCTTCATATTGAAGACTTTTGTGTCAAGGAACTTTTCAATTTAATCATGTTATTTGATCAGTAAAATAGCTGGAGCTAAAATAGTTCTGCTAATAAGGGGGAACATATACTAGTAAGTATAAATATTATTTACTTGTTTAATTATATATCTTGCAACTGATCAAGTATAAAATAATTATTTCACCTGATTTTTGAAACCACCCTAGTGGGGTAAAAACCTCCAAGGCGGAAACTCTGGAACAAAGAAACTAAGCAATTTGCCAAAGGTCTACCAGCTAACAACACGTGACAGAACATGTGTATCTAACTCCAAAGCCTCTTACCCTCCGCACAGCACAGCACTGACTTCTCAGACAGAATGGAAACCTAAGACAGCCTTTAAAATCAATCTCATTTTAATATTCTACATGTTCTTGAATTAAGGTATATTTAAGTTCCTAAAAGCCTAGGTACACACACACACACACACACACACACACACACACACACAAATCTTTTATATACTAAAATATACACAAGTAATGAGATTGCTCCTGATTTTTATAAAATCAGGAAAGGAAATAAATGACCAACCATAAAATTTAATTTCTGGGTCTTACGCTAATGTTGAACATGAATTGACCTGTGAATTAAAAAGAACACATAGAAGGAATTTACTACTTTAATTCTTCTTGATTTATCTAAATCCACAATTAGGAGTAAAGTATTTTAAACATTTAAATAATAAAAGCTATGCACTATGTACCTTCATTTAAAACCATAGGCAAAGTAGAAAGCTGAACAAGTCAGATAGTTTTAATTTGATGAGTTAGAAACAAAAGAAACCAAAACCTTACATCTCTAAAACGTAGAAGATGGTTCTTATAGGGTGCAAGCAGAGTGAGCAGCAGGAAAGCTACAGAGATTAATGACTACCCCCACAAGCAGGCATGAATATTTGTCACCCAAGTCTACAAAGAAAGGGCAACAACTGACTAAACAATAGTGAATAGGCTTTGTAAAGCTTTCACAACTTTGATGTGTAGATAATGGAGGAAAATGCATTTCTTGCCCTGAAAGGTTTATATCCTTTCACTTAAATACAATTTAGAAGGAAAATTAATTTAAATTGTCAGTTCTCATTAGCTGCTATCAAAATTTGTAAAAATAATGACTGAACCTCTATCAGTAAAAGGATAATTGAAATAAAATAAACACCTACGGCCTGTGTCTAATAGACTCCAAGTCCTAGCATGAAAGATACTTGCCCCTAAATGCTCAGATGCTAACCAGAGGTTGTATAAACTTGGGCTGGAACTCCACTTCTGCTCTCCCCTCGCTCTTTCAACACTCTGCTTAAAGCAAAACCTCATCGACCTTGCACTTGTAGGTTAAGTACAATATGAAAACCCTTTTCCTATGTCCAACGTTTCCAAACACAAAGCAGCATTCCTAAGTGATGGCCTACAAATGAATACAAGTCAAAATAGAAATCCTAGCTTCAGGCCATTTTCCATTGTTTCAATCTGCAACAGAAATGGTTGCAAAGCAGACCCATGAAGCTAAAAAAATTGAGAAAAACCAACTAAACAGGGGCTGTTAAGAGAGACTGGAGTACCTGAGTATCCTTGGTAGGTTCTGCGTCAGAGCTGGCACACCGGTAGAAATAGAAAAGTGCACAAGCAGCAAAACAGAGAGAGATACTAAGATCGCAGAATTAATGACCACCGCCCCGCCAACAAAGCCAAACACCAACAGCAGCATGCATCCAGGACTCATGGCGCTGTGCGGGCATGGTGAAACGCCCGAACCAGGAGGCCTACACGGGGGCCAGAGGAGTATCTTTGTAGTGAGGATCTGTCATTCAGCTGCTGCCACGAAAACAATGCCATCAGCAGCAGCTTTCCACTCCATCCTGCAGCAGCTCCGAAGCGATGACGTCACCCCGTTCTCCCCACCTCAAAACCAGAGAGCTGCTGCTCCTAGCATTTATGCAGCTATCCTGAGCGACAGGCAGCTTATTAACTACGTTCCTCTCCACCAAGAGTCCTGGCCTTAGCTCATTGGCTACAATGCTTGGAGATCTACATAATTTATTCACACTCCTACATCAACCAGAAGTCTCACTAGCTAACCCTTTCAAACGTGCCTCTCTCTAACAAAAAGGACTTTAAACCAGGAGGACTGGAAAATTTTCAGCGTTCCCACAAATCAGAAAAATTTAAGCCTACTGTAATATACATTATTAGAAAGCAATCAAAATATCTCGATAATGCTGCTTACATGGAATGGCTCACAATTTACATCTGAAATAATGAAAGCTGTTTCTGCTTTTCTATGCTATACTTTACTATAGCATTCCAACCACAGTGGAGAGCTTTTGAAACAGCCTAACTATTGTTCCAGGATTAAAGAACAGAGAGAAACAGACATAGACAGGTTATTTCGCTTTGTTCTCAAGGCAAACGTATAACACAGCTTACCTAATTCTACTATGAACTGCAGATTCTAGTTGTTCACTCCCTGAGAGCTGATGAAGTTTTGTCCTTTCTAAGTGTTCCATATAATTATGGATCATCTGTTTTGAAGAAAAAAATACACAAAAATTTAAAAATAATACCTGGAATAAAACAAAAAGAACACTTTTTTTTTTACACATTTCTTATTTATCAGATTATTCATAATTCCATATAAAAGAATATTGGGATGAAAAAATGGGGGGGTCATGAAGGAGGTGGAAGAGGGCAAATGGGGAGTAAATGGGAAGGAAAAGAGACGACTTTGGTGATGGGCGCACAATGCAGTATGCAGATGTCTGAGTTGTGCACTTGAAACCTGTATGGTGTGGTTAATCAATGTCACCTCAATAAAAATTTTTTGAATGGCAAAGGAATATGCAAATGCTACATTTAAGGACGCTGGTAGCCATAAAAGTAGCCAACATATTGCTTAGCACTGCAAAAAGCTATTTTTCACATTGTGATGCTATTAAATGATATAATTTTGACATAAATAGCAGAAATTAGGATATAGACACTGGGGAGGAGGTGATATGAGATAAGTGGTAAAATAAATAATAGAGGGCATCTGAGAAGTCCATTCAGCAAAATGGAAAACAACAAAGAAATTAACACTTGAGAAGAAACTGACAAGGAGAAAATCTGAGATGTCCTCAGAAGAGCTTTTAGCTGGGAAAGTTTTTTGTTTAACAAAACCATACCCTTATGTGGTGATTCTATTTTACAAAGGATTCAGAGTATGGATCACTCAATTTAATTAAGTAATTAAATTAAATGCCAATGTTTTTATTTCTTATTTCTACATATTTAGTTGAAAAAATGCTAATATATTTTCTCCTTTGATTGCTAATTTACTGGTATAATTACTTAATGTAATTATCTATAACAACAGCACATTAAAACAAATAAAAAAATCAGAGCACTGAAAAAAAAAATCAGAGCACTGTGAATTTGTGTCTTGGATACACAGGCTGAATATGGAAGTGAAAGCTTCAAGAATATCAAGTACATAAACTGCCAAGAAATGCTACAGTCCTATTTAATTCTTAATAATCTATAGTTCCATTTTTAAGAAACCTAAATCTAAAAATAACAAAAGGTATGTCAGCAATTTAAAGGGATGTAAATATTAAGAGTAGGACATAAAAAAAAAAAAAGGTTGATATCTTTCTTGGGAATATTGCCTGAATTCTTAAAACTGTAGCATGAAATATCTTTGGAAATTTCTAAACTTTAGTGGTATGAAGGTGGGTTTCAACCTTAATAATTTAAATATTATTGTAATCTAAAGAAAACTATTGACAGAAAAAAAATTTAACAAAAATTTGTTTTTTAATTTTAAAACCTGCTTTTGTTGTAAAATTTTTACTTGGTGTTCATGTACCATCATTATATATAAATCAATTTGAAAGTTATTAATATAAAATAAACAAAACAGTAAACTCTGGTGCATGAATTAAGATGAGTAATTCTATTGAATCAAACATAAAATAAGTAATTAATCAAGTTTTCCCCCACTAAGACTAACCCAAACAAGAAATCGGTCAGGCAAAGAAATATTAATATAAAATTGCATGAATATGGTATGTGGAAGTATTTTTTTTTAACTTTTAAATTTATATACTTATTTTAAATTTACAGATTTTCTCTTTACCACCACTTAACAGTTTTGCAAAAATACAGGTTTTGTCTTTGTCTTTGTGTCAGCAAGCCAGAAATAATGAGCTGTTTTCTTCTTGTATCTGGAAGAACTTTAAGGGAAAAAATTTAAGTGAGACTAATATAACAAAGTGATGTTGGGCCAAATAGATATCAATTTACATCTTCAAATGGTTTTTAAAAGCCTAAGTTGAATTCTTTTATACTGGATAGTAATCATATAAAATTGATTAATTCAAATGGAAGAATCTAAGTTTCATTAAGCAATTCAGATGAATTGCTAGCTATGGTCAACTATGTTCTAACTGCCATTAGCTGATTGGCTTTGGGGCCAGAATTCAGGTCCCTCTGACTCAGTCAACTGAGCAGGTAAGCATTATAGGACTCACGCTGTATCTTGCCTTTTAGTCTATTCTGTAGGCAGGCAATAAGCTCATTGTCCTTTCTTCCTCACACCCACAAAAACCCCAACCCTTAAGCATTTACTGACGTCTGAAATAAAATATGCACTAATTCTATAAATGCACAAAAGAGTAGAAAAAATAAATTATACAATAAAAAAATAAATTTTAACTATAGGGCTTCACAATGTAGCTCTGGTCTTTAAAAATCATGATTGGGAGGGCAGGATCAGTGGTGCTAGATAGAAGAGAGAGGTAACAGGAAAATGGGATATGCTTAGGCAAGCTACTACTGGGTCCACCAGCCCCATCCCTCCTGATCTCAGGTATGCTCATTTATTCACACAGAGTCAGGTGTCAATTCCAAAACCCAAAGCTAGAGTCATGAAGAAGGATTCCAAGCACACTGTCTGGAAAATCCCAATCCCCTCCCACCTGGAAAAATCTTCACAGCTTTGACTAAAATGGAAAAGCAAGGCAATAGTGAGGTTTTGGAAACAGTGGCATGGATGTCTTTCGTCATATGACCTTGAATCTTTCCATATGCAGCCCAAGAATCATATATCTATATCTGCAGAGTTTCTCTTCTTAAAGTTGTTGAGAGAGCATAAAGCAAAGAGGCACAGAAAAACTTCTAGTGCATTTAACATCCATGTATTCCACAACCTAAAAGCGTTATTGAAAATTCAGGCAATGGAATCAGACAACCTAGGTTCAAATCCAGTCACATCCTAGCATGGGGTTTGGGACAAATCGTATTCTCTTTCTAAACTTCAATGTGTAAAATGGTTTGGTCAGAGGATAAAATGAGAATGCATTTAAACACTCCCTGATGTAAGACCAGGGTTCAAGTTTTCGGTGAGTAATATTAGGAGTATGTACATATGTGGCCAAGTGCCTCACAATTACTTGATGTTTATATTTCCTACACTGCCCTCTTCTTTTTTTTTTTTTTAACATATTTTATTGATTTTTTACAGAGAGGAAGAGAGAGGGATAGAGAGTTAGAAACATCGATCAGCTGCCTCCTGCACACCTCCCACTGGGAATGTGCCCGCAACCAAGGTACATGCCCTTGACCGGAATCGAACCCGGGACCTTTCAATCCGCAGGCCGACGCTCCATCCACTGAGCCAAACCGGTTAGGGCAGCCCTCTTCTTTAAGCATGTGTTCTTTTAAACAAATTCAGTAATGTGTACAAAATCTTGGATTTGACTAGAGAACAAGTTATTCACTCACCAAAGAAGCCATAGATTCCCCCCTAAGCAGTAAAAAGTGATATTTAAACATTTTTGTGCCTATTTTAAAAGCTTACCTGAGTTGGTAGTAATCATGAAAAAATGAAGGTTGAGTCCTTTCTCTGAAGGTTTCCAGAATTTACCTTTAAAGGACACCTGGTTCATTAATATTGGATAGCTATTTATAATTGCTAATTAAATGATATTTCTCCTACAGAAAAATGGGGACTAGAGTGGAACACCCCACATTTCAAAGCAGCTACCTCTGTGTTACATAAACCTTCCTAGAGGCAGAGCAAAATAAAGAGAGCCTACTAGTATCAGGGCAGAGGACAGAAGCTGCTTGTGCCAGAGGGAGGGGCCGGATGAAAAGAGCTGCCTTGCTTCATGTGAAATTTACTGCCCAGGCCCAGCTCTCTGAATTGGTATTTAAGATTTCTCCTGAGATCTTTTTTTCTTCCTGGACTGTCCTTCTCTGAAGGAACAGGATAGAAAAATTATTACAGCTTTTTACTTCAAGGTGTCAGGTTTTTCTGTAGCAACATCACTTTTATTAAATAAATATGTGAGAAAAAATATGAAATTTCACTTTACAGTGATTTTTCAAGAATGCATGTATTTTAAGCATGCTTCAATTTAACACATCCTAATTTAGTAATCATCCATTATTACAAAGGTTAGAACTTCAATGAAAAAAACCAAAAGGATTATTCATCACTATCAGTTATTTCTGGTACATAAACATATTCCTGCTTATAATTATGGCATTGATAAGCACTACATACAGGGCATTGTTCAGTCACTGAAATGAATGATGTAAATAGAACCAAGAGCCCTAGCCAGTTTGGCTCAGTGAACACTCTAGAGTGTCAGCCCACGGACTGAAGGGTCCCAGGCTCAATTCAGGTCAGGGGCATATACCTCATTTGTAGGCTCCATCTAGGCTCTGGTTGGGGCATGTGGGAGGCAACCAATCCATGTGTCTCTCTCTCTGTCTCTCCCCCCCTTCCACTCTCTCTAAAAATCAATGAAAAAATATCCTCAGGTGAGGTTTAACAAAATAAAATTTAAAAAGAACCAACAATAGGCCTTTACCAATCAACTGTTTTTTAACAGTCTTGATATCCATCAAGTGCCATCTCATTAAAATGTGGACATTTTTCTCATACCGAAAAGGCTGCTGGGAAGCTGTTCCTGTCTTCCCAGAGCACTATGGTTCCAGCCTCCTGTGGCCAGTCTTTTCCCTCTGCCACTGAATTCCAATTCTGTGACACTCATGCTTCGTGTGTGGCTATATAAGCTAAGATAGTAATAATCAAACCTTATGTGCCAGGAAGAAATTCAAACCTCTCTCCAAGAAAGCATTAAGCACATTATTCCAAAGTAAATGAAAGTGGGTGCAGTGGGTTTTATCTTCCTAAAGCGACAATCTATAGGTCTCTACCAGAGGTAGGATAAGAGATTACACAAACTGGTGAAAGAAAATGGAAGCAGAAGACTGGAACCATCCCGATCATGGGAGAGGTTGGACTAGAAAGGGAAAAAGAGAAATTCTCATTTTTTCCTTAAACAAATATGAAAATTCTGTATGTTTAGATATGTGACCCTCAGACTGATCATGATACACCAGAAATGATTTTCATATTAAGGAGGTACAAACAAAAGCAACAAATAAAAGGCTGACAATCATAAAAAGAAGGTTAAAAAAACCCCTCAAGTACATTTCCTAATTTGCTTTGGAGAGATTATGTGCTGGGGTTGTTACTTTAAAATACTAAAAATTATTAAAACTGTAACTTATAAGTGCTATATTTCATCCAGAAAACCTGTTTTAGAGTCATTTCCATTTAATACATTATAATTTGTGTTTATGTTATTTGTTATAAGCTTAATGCAAATAAGTCCTTTATACTGGATAATAACTATAGAGACTCCTACACATAATTTACCAATCCATCATTTCTCAACTGTTAACAGAATAAATTAAATCAATTCTCTCATACTAGCAGTGTGTATACTTTTTAATATGCACACAGAAGCTTTTACTTGGTTAGCCAAAAAAACAACTATTAGAGGCACACTAATTCATCAAATGAAAAGGTAATTTCAAATAAAAAATATATTAAAAGTCAACATTTGGTAATTAGGCAAATGTTATATGAAATTTAATGTGTTCTTAAAATAAATCTCTAAGAAATATACTAACTGATTTTCAAAGAAAAATTAAGACATAATTTCTAAGGTTATGTTTTTAATCTCAATATTAGCATATAAGAACAACCCAGAAACCCACCTCAGTGTGTCTTTGATGTAATGCATTATATTCCTTCTTCAGTTCTGCTTCTCTTTCTTCAAGTCTGCTAACTGAAATTAAGATACATACACTTAATCAAAACAAAATAGAAGAAATTTGCTTGAAAATTCCATCTTAAAATCTTGGAATGGGTTATCTATAATCCTTAGCAACTTTAGGGCTCAGTGTTCCATATGAAATTCTTCACAAAGCTAGTAACCTCATTTTATCATCCCTAACAAACAGAACTTTCAGAGGGGGGATAAATTGGGTTTTAAAAAATTAAACACCAGATTGCTTTTCCTAATATCCATGTTTATCAAGTCATCACCCTAAATAGGTTTTTAATATGATATAAAATTAAGTCTTTCAACAACACTTTACAAATCATCTCAAAGAAGTTTTAACCCAGGATCAGGGCCCAAATCATTGATTTCTAACATTATTCAAGCTCTTTTTCCCTACTGAGCCATATGTGAAAAGTCATTGTTTGTAAGTACTTTTTCTCCTTCAGGTCTTAATTTCAGGGACTTATCTTCTTTTACTTAGCTCCCTCTGCTGATGGAGTTTGTGAGTGGCACTGATTTGGAGTAGTACTCACAGAGTATAACTTTATGATATACATATACATACACATACATACATACATACATATATATGTATGTATATATTTACATTTTTTACTAGAAAAAAAGTCTTTGAAAAAAGTTTTAGAATGTTGGGACAGGATTTCACAGGAACGGGTGGTAACAGAGAGGGCTGATTCTGATAGGAGGTGGAGCTCAAGCAGGACCACAAAGAAACTACAGCACTAAAGACAGATGGTGATGAGAGTACTGGGCACTGTTACCACAGAGACGGGAACACGAATCATGCTGGTGGTAAGACAGAGGGGAGACTGGCCAGCCTGGTGGAGCCCACACTGACTAAGAAGCAGTGGGAGATAGTCTGCTGGGAGAAACAAAACTGGTGCTAGCAGAGCTTGTAAAGGTAGATACTCAGTCCTAGCTGGTTTGGCTCAGTAGATACAACGTTGGCCTGGGGACTGAAGGGTCCCGGGTTTGATTCCAGTCAAGGGCACATGTCTGGGTTGTGGGCTAGATCCTCAGTAGGGGGCGTGCAGGAGGCAGCCGATCAATGATTCTCTCTCATCATTGATGTTTCTAACTCTCTCTCTCTCTTCCCCTTCCTCTCTGAAAGCAATAAAAATGTATTTTTTTAAAAGGTAGATACTCATTTAAGTCTGTTTGAAGGCCTGATATTAATTGGACATGCTCTCTTCGTGTAAGGGTCGGCCACCTACAAACAGGCAAGGCTGTAAGCAACAGCCTGTGACTACATCAGAAGGCTGTAGCATTAACTACTGTGAACTATCACAGCACACATACAAATGTTTTCATATACCTAATGTTAACACATCAGAGACCAAACAACACATAGCGTGTGCTGTCGCTAAACTCGTGTTGGTTTGTATGGCTTTACTTGCCACCTTTGTTTGAATATTTTGAAGATATGTCACTAATTTGGAAAACTGTAGCTCTGACTTTTGTTTCTAATGAAGCCTCTATGTTGGCTCATTAAATTTACACCTGCGAATAAACACACACTTTAGTTCCCATGGTGCACACTTTATTGTGCCAGGCAAGGGTTGAGAACATGTGCTACTCATCCTGCGGCTGCAAGCAATAAAAAGCAAACTTGTAATGCAGATGTGCTGTGATAGCACAATATGTACTAAAACCATTATTTTTAGTACAACTTCTCCGCTTTTTATTTAAAAACAGGAAATCCAACAAATTGAGATATTCAGTAACAATTTCAAAATAAATATTTTCTACTACTTGTCAATTAAATTTATCTGAAAGCTTAATCCTAAAACTACTGGGTAAACCTTATCTATTTTTAATTGAGCATATTTAAGATTTTCTTGGTATTATGCAGCAACAACAAAAACAACAAACCGCCGAAACCGGTTTGGCTCAGTGGATAGAGCGTCGGCCTGCGGACTGAAGGGTCCCAGGTTCGATTCCGGTCAAGGGCATGTACCTGGGTTGCGGGCACATCCCCAGTAGGAGATGTGCAGGAGGCAGCTGATCGATGTTTCTCTCTCATCGATGTTTCTAACTCTCTATCTCTCTTGCTTCCTCTCTGTAAAAAATCAATAAAATATATATTTAAAAAAAAACAACAAAAAACAACAACAACAAACAAAAGAACCCTGGAGGCTGAGGCTAAAATAAAACCACAACTATCACCTAAAACCCTCAATTTCAAATTTGTGTCCTACAGTAAACCTTCATTGTTCTTGTCAGTTAACTTCATATCAATTCATAAAATAAATTTATGTCATCACTAACAGCTAACATTATTAGTACTCATTATATTATGTGCCATGCACTGTCCTATGTATTTTATATTAACTAACTTATTTGAGCCTGACATTAATCTTATGATGAAAGTATTATTACATTCATTTTAGAAATGAGGTAACTGAAGCAAACACGAGTTAAGTAACTTGCCTAAAGTCACACAGCTAATAAGTGGCAAAACTAGGATTCCTAATGGAGGAGTCTGGGTCCAGACTCTGTTTTTATTTACCAGGTGATAATACTGACTCTCAAGAAATACTCTTTTTAATCTGTTTTATATACTGGAGTATAACTTAAATTTTTACGTGTGAAACAAACAAACAAACAGGTGTATAGACTACTTATGGAAAGAACCTAGTCACAGTTACTTCAACTCAAAGGTATCAAAATGCCAAATAAAATATGTACCCAACTTTATTCATCATGGAAATGCATTTTAAAACCAAATGCAACACCATTACATACCCGTCTGAATAGCTTAAATGAAAAACACAATACATCAGATAAGGATGTGGGGCAACTGGAACGCGAATATACTGCTGGTGGGAGCATAAACTGGTACACCCAATTTGAAAACTGGCAAGATTTCATAAACTTAAACGTGTGCAAACCCTCTGACAAGTTCATTGCTAAGAAGTGCACACATGTGTCCACCAAAGGACATTTAAAACAATGCTCAAAGTAGTACTATTTGTAATAATCCAAACCTGGAAACAACCCATCAACAGCAGAATGGATAAATACTCATGTACTAAACTACTACACAACAGAGATGAACAAATTATTGCTATACACAACATCATGGACTAATCTCACAAACAGGATATTAAGGGAAAGAAACAAGCAAAAAAAAAGCAAATCTAAAACTAATGTGTTAGAAGTCAGGATATTGGTTAGTTTTGGGGAGGAGTCAGTGACCTGAATTTACTGTGTGCACAATCCCACTCCACCCCAGTCCAAACACAATGTGTTCCCATTCACATAGGCACTTTCCTTGGCTTGAATACTCATTACTCTTTATGTCCTCTGGCAACTGCTATAAGTTCAATATATAGCACAGGATTTAATCAGACTACTTAGAACTATTACAAACAAGGTGTACTTATTCATCATTAAAATGTACAGGGAGATGAGCAAAAATGTTACTAGATTAGAGATTTAAAATAAGGAAAAAAAGATAGGCATTCTGGGAGGATAAATTGATACCCTTATGAAGGTCATGTTGGTGATATCTGTTAAAATAAACAATGTATATATCCTTTGACGCAATACTACCATTCTTATTTATCCTACAGAAACACACCAATGCCCAAAGACATGAAAATGGATGTTCTTATATAATAACTCCCAAATTGGAACTAGCCCCAAATTTGTCAATAGTTGGTTGGTGAAGTGAAATATGATAGTCATACAATGGACCACAATGCAGTGACTTTGCTACATCCAAGTTATATTACCTCAGGTATAGTAACCTCTCTGGGACTCAGTTCACTTATTTATAACTGACGAATAATGGCAGCATATCAGAGATGATATTAGGATTAAGTGAGTTATTACTTGTAAAGAGTATAAAATAGTACCTGAACACACGTTTTTCAAATACAACCACAAAAGGTAATGTTAAAAGGAATGCATTATATCTGTATACTGACAAGGGATGGTGCCTGGAACTGAACGGAAGGGTGCTAAATATTGCTGTATCTGAAAATAGAAAATACAAAAGCACTTACAATGTGATGCTGCTAACACGTCAACAAAGCCGAAACTGAACTGATTGTCTCTCCCAAACCTGTTCTTTCCCACAATCTTCTTACTCAGGCAAAAATCTTCAGCTATCCTTTAGCTCTTCTCTTTCCCTCACATAACATATCCAGTCTATCAGCAAACTGTCTGTTTTACCTTCAAAATAAACCTAAAATCTGATCACTTTTTACCACCCCCATCACATCCATCTCTTGTCTGAATTATTACAATTACCTCCTGACCAGTGTCTCTGCTCTAGCCTTTGTTCCTTTATATCCTCAGAATAGTAACCTGAGTAAAGTCAGATAGTGATTGCACAAAACCCTGTCACATTAAAAGAAATCCTTACAATGATATATATATAGATAGATAGATAGATAGATAGATCGATCGATCTATAGGCACCACTCCTGGGCCTGGCCCAGTAAAACCATCCACATAGAATCCTCCATTTCCTTTCCCCTTTCCTCCAACTTTTGCAGATGTAAGTTGAAAAAAACCTGTGTCTCCAAAGAAGCCACTCATCTATGGGAAACATCCATTCTAAATGTCACATGAACAAAAAATAACATAACATTTGAGTCATTATATATGTTTTTTGTAGTTTAGTTTGTGTCTGTTATTCTAGATGATTTTCTGACTATTATTTTTCTCTGCAACCTAACCCCTCCAGCAAGTACCTTGTCAAAAAACTGTCTATGATGTAACATATTTCATGTTTTCTTTATCTGTACTGTGGTTCTAAACACTAGTATTTAATCCTTTAAACTATGAGTTAACCACCAAGATCATTGTGGTCTTGTAAGTATTTCTGACAATACTTACATAACTCAGCACAACAACATAGTCAAAGGACTTCATTTTCTCAAGGCCTAGCTCACATGAGATGTTATAGTGTTTAACGCTATGAGAAATACCTTCAAAGTCCTGAATGCCACTAAGTAAATGGAAAAGCAAAGGAAAGAAGAAAGGAGGAAAAAGAGGGAAAGACATCCCATCTGAGCAAGAATGGTGCACATCCCTAAAAACCTCAAGCACTATAAAATTCACCTCTGCCTACACTGTTGCATTACATCTGAAGTGCAGTAGGAGACAGTTTCTTGTTTAATAGTTCCCATGTGAACCCAAACCTCAAAATCATCTCAGGACAAATCCAAAAAAACCTTTATCATTTTACTCATCAAAATAGCCACAACATGAGATTACTAGAAATAAACAAAATTCTCTTCATCCTTTCTATCCCAAAACAACAGATAACTAATCGGCCATATTTTTAAACTGCAAATATTCTGTGGAGAAAATTTTTTAAAAATCAAGGAATCTTAAAAAGGGGGGAGGGACTAAGAAAAAATAAGAATCAAAAGACTAATAAAAATGTCCCCCTAAAATAGCTAATGGAGATACTTCAGCCTCATTTTAAATGCTCTTTCTCTCTATCCCTCTTTCCAAAGAGCAAGAGGATATGATTAAGGCAGGAAGAGCTGCCTGCTCTACCTGCTCAAAATCAGAGCTTACCTCCTTAGAATGATGGCCTTTGCCAAGTTTGGAACACCTTCCATCTCTGATGTCTTCTGCCCCATCAGACTGCTGATAGGCCTACGGGGGGAAGAAAGAGAAACAGACCTGCTAGATTGCCATATCCAACTCATGATTTGCCTTCTCAAAAGGCATCTTCATTTCTTACTAGTCATGGAAGGCAGATAATCCAGCTGTTACTTGGCCTCAGGAGACTGACATTGGTCTTTCAGAAGCTTTTCCTTGAAGAATTTAGCATCAAAAGTCTCAACAGGTAAGCAAGAATCAAGTGCTGACTTACAAGCAAACAGATCTCAGACAACCACAAAAAAACAGTAATAAAACCCTCTCCTCTGCCAACTAAGTCCTTCACAGTATCTCTAAACTTCAAGAGATTTTCCCACGGATATTATGTTATTAACCAATGGCACAATGTGAAATGCTATAGTATCCTCATGAATCAAAAGAGAGTAGGATAACTTCAAAGAATCCCAGTGGTAGGGGTTTCTAGCAATCTGATCTGGTCACGGTCTTGAAGATGCTACCTTGCCATACATGACAAAAAGGTGACTTCTCTCCTAATCTCTGTGTAAGACGAATCCCTCAACACAGATTCCTCTGTATCACTTCCATGGTCAAAAAATACTTCCTTATGATCAACCAAAACCAACCATTTTCTCTAACTTAATCTGCCAAGATTACAGAAAAACAACTTGGTATCTTCCTTATCTATTCCTTTACATGTTTGAAGGGTTAGTCAAATCATATTTATTCTGTTCTCTAAGTTAAATCAGCATAAGTTCTTTAACCCTTACTTAGAAAATCACTTTCTATGAAATCTTTAGTTCTAGATATTATAAATTACAACCTTAAGGTTCTTAATAAATAGCACAAGACTACAGAAAAGAATCTAAATACAGACTATAAAACATAAAGCACATCTGAAGGCCACATGGAATATTACCTAATGAAATAGTAATAAAATGTTAGGGTTTGTATAAATTATCTTGTGCTTAATTTTCTGCTTTCCCTCTCATATATAGGCTCTAAAAAAAAAAGAAACAACACTTAAATTAAGTGTTTTAAATATAAAAATATTCTTTATATATTGCAAAGAACTAGATTTAAGTTAAATGGACTAAAAAAGGAAGTTTCTATATAATGAATTTTATTTTTTTTAAATCAGAAGATATAAATCTAAAACTCCTAAAGCTGCCTTAAAGCTGCCTTTCAATGAGAATAGAATCAGTTATCTACTTTGATCATCCAAAAATAATATAGATTGCCTATTAGCAATATAAAATTTAAAACTCTCAAATTCTGAGAATATTAACATGAATTGTCAACTGCAAAGCATAGTAAAGAGGCTGATAAGGCATTTTACTGGTCTGGAGGTTTTGGTGGTTTTTTTGGTTTTTTTAAAGTGATTTGAAAATTAGTGACAGAAATATTTAGGCCCTCTCAACTATTAACTTTGATATAAAATATACCTAAAAATGGATTTTCTTCTGTGTTGTGAAAGGTCTCAGTGTACCAGTCACATCATTAACAGACAGAACTTGCTTGTAAATAATTCCCAAATGTGCAGTCTATTTTAAGCCATTTATTCCTTTAAAATAAAAAAACGTTGATTATATGACTTCCCCATACTGTCCATCTAGTAGTGTATAAGTTCTTATAACCAAGAAATAGTAAGTGTCTCCCTTACAATAATAAGTTTCAAGGTAAAGGCTTGACGTTATCTTATTAGACTAAGATCTAACACCAAATTTAAAAAGCAAATGGATGTTGCATGGGAAACGTAAAGGGTAGAAAGATCAGAATACAAGGCTCTATCCCAAATGTCTTTAGCTGTCAAAAACATTTTTCCATTTAATTTTTTTAAATGGGATTTTTCATTCAAAGGAAGGACAGAATCAGAGAAGAATCTATAAATAGCTTAAAATCACTGCCATCTAAATGTTGTCATCTTCTCCCACAATTCAAGGGAAAAGACATCTAATAGAAACTCAAGAAGCTTGAGGGAAAAATATTTTTCCCAAAGGAATCAATAATAAGTGGTTTTATATCAGCTCTGAGTGCTAATGTTATAAATAATGATTCAAATTCATGTTACAATAAAGAAATAAAATATGCTACCAAATTTTACTTCTCCAATTCTGTTCACGTTAAAAATGACCATACACTATTATATACTAAGAACCACTAAACTATTCCGTAATTCCTTGACCTACTTCCTTAAATATATTCTAAGAAAATTAGTGAGAGAGGGAAATCTATAGGTGTGAAAAATATGATTCACTACACTGGAAAAATGTCCAACCACCAACAGAAGTTTTTTGTATGTTTTTAATTTACTAATATTTATTTTTACTCTGACTCATTCCTTCAATCCACAAAGACTTTGAGATAGCTTTCAAGAACATATAACAATTCATCATACATATATAAAATGTGGATCAAGGAAAAAACAATTAAATACACTAATTGGGTAAGATCCAAACCAGACATTATGGTTGCACTTCTAAGTTTGTTCTGAGTTTATGAGTAGCCAAGAACAAAACAAAACAAAGTGGCCATTAAATAATTCTCATTAGAGGAAAGAAGAAAACATAGTCTCTCAGGGAAAACAGAATTGTTAATAGATGGCACAGCTTCTGAATGATAGGTATAAACAGACATTTAAAAAAATTAATTATTGACTACATAGTCATTATACTGTAATAACTATAAATGGTGTCAGATGGGTACTAGACTTATTGGTGCAATCACTTCTTAAGTTATATAAATGTCTACTATGTTAAACACCTATAACTAATATAATATTGTATGTCAACTGTAATTGAAAAGTAAATTTAAAAAATAATAGTAATAAAGATTATACAACAAAGAAAATACGATAATGTTAAGGAAAAGATACAAAATTATATGTACATTCACTCCAACTGCAGTGATATAAAAGCATGGTACATTTGGAAAAAAGACTAGAAGGTCATAAACATTCCCCCCCCTCCCCGCCAAAAAAACACACAAAAACTATAATTATTTGACTGCAATGATCATATCATATTCTTCTATACCACAACCATACCTAGGCTGAATATCAGGCATACAGCAGTAGTTTAATATTTTTTAATGTATCAAAATGTCTATATTTACTTGATTCATTTAAGAAATTTGGCTTATAAGACAGAAATACTCAATATACAACAGAACTAATGAACATAAAGTAGTTTCTGATGAAGAACTCATTACTGTCACACTGTGAATGGCAAGGCTGAATGTAGACTCCTTACAGAGTTGAAAAGTACCAACAGGTCTTTCTCAATCCACACTTCCTTATTCTATTCCATATATAGTTCAGATTTTTCCTCAAGGCTAACAAGATATTAACTACCAAAAAATGTTATTGATACTCTCAGATAAGAAATAATACACAGCATTTTTTGGAAAAAACAAAAATATTTCTTACGTAGTTCAAATTTTGAAAAGACAGCAACCAGAAATCTCCGAAATCAAATGTGACCACAAAAACTTTATGGACTCAACTTCTCAACACTGTGAAATCATGACAACCCGATATGACAGATTCCATATTATCACAGGCTATAAAGTGTATCCTTTAATTCAGTTCCTATTTTTTGACATTTTCTTGCTTCTCAAATAGCAAGTAACTACAACCAAATTTCCCCTTTTACCATAGGAAGTGGTCTTCAGAGCAGAACTTGGACTTTTATTGTGGCTATTTTTTAAAAGGGATATGTACCCTAACACACATAAGCCAGAATTGACAGTCTTTTAAAATTCAAGACTCTAACATGTTATATAAATACTAGAGGCCCAGTGCATGGATTCGTGCACCAGTGGGGTCTCTCGGCCTGGCCTGCGGGGATCAGCCGAAACCGGCTCTCTGACATCCCCCGAGGGGTCCCGGATTGC